ACTGTATAGGCTTGGGTGAGAGTCAGCATGGTGTAGTGGTGTGAGTGTTGGACTACAACTCTGGAGAGCAGGATTTATTCCCTGCTAATAATGGAAACCCACTGGGTGACCTTGGGTGAGTCACACACTCTCAGCCCCAGAAAACCCCATGATAGTTTTGCCTTGGGCTCACCATAAGTCAGAAATGACTTGAAGGCACACAACAACAAAGCTTGGATCCTGGCAAGTGCAGGGTTGCTTCCATTTCTGCACTGTATTTCTATGCATGTGTCCTGCACTGTACTGGTGGTCCTCATGTTCCCCCCTATTCTCTATAAGCTCCATTCCAGAGACGTGAGAACAGGAGAATGGAGGGAGACGTTAAGTTATCCACTTTAACTGATAACTAGTCAACTTTTTTGTCCTGAGCAGGCAATATATGGCTTAAAACATGTTTTTCTTTAGGCTGGTTAAAATGCTGTGTTCAGCTAAGTTTAACAAGAATAATGTGCCCAATTAAAAACCGACTACAGTTGCTAGAATCATGCTCAGTACTAGTAACTTATCCTTGTTCTACTCTTTGCTAGCCTCTAGAACCACTAAATCCATTGCTGAATGATAAATCAGCACCCGTGTAAATCACATTGATTCAGTGGCTGTACTCTAGTTGCACTGTTGAACTCTATTTTAAAAAAAATAGTAGTTAGTCTTCTGTTTGGTTATTTCTTATGTCAGCCTTCCTTGACTTTGGTGTCCAGATGTTTTGGACTACAGCCCCCCAAATTCTTGACCTTGTCTGGGGCTGATGGGAGTTGAAATCTAAAACATCTGAAAGGCACCAGGATGAGAAGGCTGTCCTATATTACACATTTTTCTACTTGTTGGAAATTTCCACTGGAAAGTTGTGTTTCTTTACCTTTAAAGTATACACAGTTGAGAATCATCATCAGAGTGGCAGGGTGTACTTGCACAAGGGCTTCCTTTATTAATCCTTTGGTGAGTTTCAGAATGCGCTCATTAGCTTTAGCAAGGAAGGTTGGATCTGCAAAGTCAGCCAGCTGAGCCTCAGCAAAATAGTACCTTTTCATGTTGTTTTTGAACTCGCCCAGGATAGGAAATTGTCTTCGGATGTAAAGGTCATTGACTGACCTAAGTGTATAGCCAAAATTCCTTCGGAAGAGTCTGTGAGTAAGTTTATGGAAGAGGTTGTGAATGGTCATCAGGTCATACTTGGAGCTGGCATTAACAAAATCTCTGAAGCCCAGGGAATCCAAAACTTCTTCCTGCGTTTCACCTCTCAGTCCCAATGAAATCATAGCCATGGCTGTAGAAATGCCAACTGGAGCCAGAAGGATATTATCTGTGGAGTTGGCTTTGTCCTTCAGACTCCGATAAAGGTTGAAGGCAAAGTTTGCATTGAGGATATTGAGACGCTGGATTCTGGTTTTCCCTTGGAAAAGTTCCAGAATATTCCCTTGTTTCAGTTCAGAAACTGAATCTGGAGTGGCGTCGATTATGTCAAAGTAGTCATCATCTTCACTTAATATTTTATCAAGGTCAAGGTAATCTTCCTCCTCCTCTCCTTCAGTACTCAAGTCATTGGTCACTGTGTTCTCTTTATGAAACTCAGGTGAGAGCTTAAGAGTTCCATTGTTGTGGAGCCCATGCAAATCAATAGACTGAGTTTCATCGAAATGTTCGAAGTGCTCGTGGAGGTCTTTGATTCCACACAATGCAAATGTTGCAGTGAGAGAGAAGATCGCTGAGCACAGCAACAGGTTCATCTTGATGAGCCAAAAACTAAAAAGTTCAAAATGACACAGTTAGACACTCGACTTAGTCATTTTGAGTAAGCCTGCTTGGAAATCTGTCCCTTTACTGCAGTTCTGTGCATAATGTGTCCAGTTGCACTGTAACCAACTTTGGTTGCTACACTGAGGCATCTATATTAAAGAGTAGGTGTTGGATTCTAGGGCCGAATCCAGTCTACCTAAAATGGATGTTAAAAATCTGATTCTCATAGATCAGTGTTCCCGAATGGCATCCCCCACCCAGGCAACTTTTTTAAAGAACAGGTTCCCATTTATCCAGCCAGCGTAGTCAGCGATCAGGAATGATGAGAGCTGTAGTTTTATTTGAGCAGAATGAATCTTACCTTTCTAAATTACAATCTGTTGGCTGACCACCACCACCCCAATTTAATAAATTGAGAGCAAAGTTCCAAGAGAAGTAAAAAGTCAAATCCATACAAAACTACTATAAAAACAAATTTCAAAATAATTTTTGTTCAGTGTTGAACACTATGACTTATCCTTATTCATGCAATGCAGACCTATTGTGATCCTAACTCAATAGTAACTCTTAAGACTTGCTTGATTTTCTGTTGCAATAGAATTGCTATTAATAAATTGCAGGCATATTATGTCCCTTCCTTCATACTGTGACTTTTCTTGAGGTTTATTTAATAATTTTTCTTTTGTTTTCTGGTAACCACTAAATAAGTACAGAAACACTTCCAAAAGATCAAAATATTTCTTACCTCTTGTGTTGCCAAGCAGAATGCTTCCAAGAGCACCTCAAATAAAGTGGATGAAAATGTGAACTTTGGTGTATGGGTATGCGCTAAAGTAAATAGGCTGTAAATCAATCACTGCAGAGCTTATCTTGTCAGCTGAAATCCCTTAAGTTGGTTTGCTGTCTTTTCCTGTTGATGTTCTGCTCTCTTGTGTGCTCATATTTATTCATCCACCCAGGGACCTCCCTACAACCACATCATTTTTTGTTGTATTTTTAAAGTCAAAGAGGTCTCAGGATAGACGGTGATGCTTTTTGGGGGGTCACAAGGGATATAATAATATAGCACATGGATAAGGAATGGGTGGCCCTCCAGATGTTGGACTGTAGTTCCCATTGGCCGTCACTATTTGCTATAGTGGCTAGGGCTGATGAGCACTGCTGTCTAATATAACATTTGGGGTTGGCAGCATCAACCATAAAAAGTGTACCATGTGTTTTTTGAATCTACAATTCATTGCATTTTCTCCAGTGAGTCATTTTGTATTGAGGCTCAGCAGGGATGAATCAGAAGATCGAGGCTAACACCTTCTCAGCCCATGTTTAAAATGGACTTTCCACATTTATGCTTGATGAATATTGCCCTGGTCACTATGGCTACTTAACCATTTCAACCATTTTTTTATTCAGATTCACCTATCTAAGTCTGCTTTCCCCCGCAAAAAAGATACATGTTCCAAGGTCTTCTGGGGGACTTATTCAGCCCCCTATCCTTCCACAGTTTCCCTCCCCTGCAATAAGTCATAGTAGAGATGGTATTCATAAACCACAGGTGTGTGTGACTAATGTGAGTTAATCTGGTGTGGATTTTACTAGATTAATGTGGAAGCCAAGATTGGAATCAGCAGGATATCAAAACCTTGTCCCCCTTCCTTTGGTAAGTTACTCAATAGACACTGAACTTATTTTTCTTCTCACTTTGCTTCTGTTTGTTTTGTAGCTCACAAGACGCTTGCCACCCATCAAAGAAGCTAAGCCCAGGTTGCAGAAGCTCTTCCGCGACTTCTGGCTGTATTCAGTACTCATGGGATTTGCTGTGGAAGGCTCAGGTAATCCAGAGACTCCTGATTTTTTAATTTAAAAAAAATAGCTTCTCAATGAAGCACCAGAAAAATGCACCAGTTCGTTGCACATTGCCACATTTAAAAAGGTATGTCTACGCCCAGCCCCCAGTGACACAGAGTAATCTTTGGAATTATCTTCTGATTTGAACTAGTTTTGCCTCTGTTTACTGAAGATCCTGTTGAGACCCTGCTCTGTGCTTTGGTTCCTTATTTAACAGATGAATGTTGTTTAATTTTTCTCTTTTTAGAAAGGTGTTAGTACTTAGCAGCATAGATTATAAGTAGCTGGCTGTGATGTAACACCTGATAAATATCAGGGAGAGCTTGTTTACCTAGAGATCCAGCATGATGTAGTGGTTTGAGTGCAGGACTAGGACTCTGGAGACCAAGGTTTGAATCTCCACTCAGCCATGGAAACCCATCAGGTGGCCTTGGACAAATCACACTCTCTCAGCCTTAGAGGAGGACAAAAGCAAATCTCCTCTGAATAAATATTGCCAAGAAAACCCTGTGATAAGGTTTGCTTTAGGGTTGCCATAAGTCACAAATGACTTGAATACCAGTACAGTCTATTTTCTCCCTCAAAAATCGGAGTTATTTTGAAATCAAATCATACCTGTATTTCCAGTAAGGATTCAATTCCCAATGTAGATTGCAAAAACAAACTGGCATGGTATATTCACACTCACACACACACACACACACACACACACACACACTATGTTGTGGTGGTGGGTTAAAGGGTGAAAGTAACAAAGTAAGTTCATGGTATTCTGTTTAAAAAATAAAAGTAAATACCTGTCAGAAAGATTAAGGCTGTTTTAGCCTACGCTTACATAAGCTTTTGAGTGAAGGGGATATCAAGAATAATAATTTTGTTAAAATCAAAACCAAAGCCTTTTCTTCCTTCTGGATGTGTGGGGTGTGTCTCTGTGTATGTTCCTGGGGGTCATTCAAGTTGTAGTGAATTAAGGTTCTGCAGTGCATCTGAATGGGCCATTAATAATAATAAATAATAATAAAATTTATTTCTACCCCGCCCAATGGCAACCCAATCCGGGTGGCTTACAGGTTAAAATACAGGAAATACATCATTAAAATTCCAAAACAGTAAATAGAACAAACAAATAGAACAAAATTAAAGTGCCACCAGACTATTTGTTGCTGCTTCAACAGGCTAACACAGCTTCTCCTTTGGAATCTGTCAACAGTGAAGTTTCTGGTAAACAAGCATGTTGTTCTTGTGTGCCTTCAAGCTGTTTCTGACTTATGACAACTCCAAGGTGACTCTATCATAGTTTTTCTTGGCATGGTTTGTTCAGAGAGGGGGTTGCCATTGCCTGAGAGCATGTGATTTGCCCCAGGTCACCCAGTGGGTTTCCATGGCCACACTGGGAATCGAACCCTGGTCTCTAGAGTCATAATCCAATGCTCGAACCACTATGACTCACAGGCTCTCATTCCAAAATTGCAATTTAACATAACATTATACTGGCTGCATTAGAACCCACCATGTTAATGAAAGTTCTCATCATTTTGTAAGCCTATTGAACCTGTTAACCAGAAATAAAGCTCACTATTCTCCTCCCTGCCCCCATAGGTCTTTGGCCAGAAGAATGGTATGAAGGTGTCTGTGAGATAGCAACCAAGTCACCGCTCCTGACATTTCCTAGCAAAGAGCCCCTTCGCTCTGTTCTTCAGTACAACTCTGCCATGAAAAATGACACCGTCACATCTGTACGTTTATGTTTCCTCTTCCATCACTACTCAAACAGTCAGTAATGTGCCCATGCATATAGTTTATAAATGCTACTAGAACAGAGAAGTAAGTTTATGTGTTGCACAACTCCTGGCTTAACAGAATGAAGCAATTTTAAAAAGATATTTTTCATTGAGCCATGAACTGAAGTAGGTGATGCATTAGCTTGTAGTCGACTAGATGTTTTGCAAGGAAGAATCAGGCAGAGGTAGTAAACCTTCCAATGCTTTCCAGTTCTCCCCTGCAACTCCACCTTTCAGGCCCCCTTTCCCATGCACTCCAATACATCAGGACCAAAAAACATCTTGAGTTAAGGGCTTGTGAAAAATCACTAGGAAACTAAGAGCATAAGCCAGAGGTGGGGAACATGATTCCTCTCTTCTGCTTTAGCTAGAAAAGCCAATGATGGGAGTTGCACTCCAGCAACTTCTGAGGGCCACATGTTCCTGTCCTCACCACCCTCTTGCCTGCTATTTTTCTCCTTTAAAAGCATACGCACATGCACACCCTGCCAAGACAAACAAGTCTTGAGTACCTGTGTTAGCCTCCTAACAAAGTTCTTCCCCCAGGTTTTCCATACATAGAGACCAAGAGAAAGAAAATTATTAGCTTTGTTGTTGCCATTCCCACTCTCACCCCCTGCTCCTTCTGATAACTTACCTGGCTACTTATCCAAAGTTGGAGTAGAAGGGTGACTTGTTTCTGTATACCTCTGTGGGATTTCAGAAGTCAGCGGTGTTAACCTGTAATGATTGTCTTTCTGTTCTGTCTCGTGGAGCAGCCTGCTCATGGCTGCATATACTTTTTAGAATAGGGGAAAAAAGTTCAGAGGTATGTTGGCTTTCCAAGTGGAATTTTTTTTTGGGCAGGCTTCATCCCCTCTTGCGATGAGCTGTGTTGAACTGCCTCAGCATTTTTGCACTTCACTACTTAGAAAGCAAACACATGTTTGTTTCCCCCCAGGATGCACTCCAAAATAGTTGAGTATCTTTTCTTTTCTTTTTTGTTGCAAAGGGATTGTTTGTTTCTCTTACTTTGTTCCCTTTGTGCAGAATACAGAATGAATGGCTATTTAAAGGATCTCTAGAGGTTAAAACTATCATTTAGAGTACACTTGCCTGGGAGTGAGTCCTACTGATATCAGTCATGTTTACTTCTGAGCAGACAGAGTGTTGTGAGAATGTTCTGCTCTCAATAACTTTAACATCTTTAAACTAGAAATAGTTTTGCTTGTGTGCCATAGTTCCCAATACTAAATCAGGTTGTTTTTGTTTTGCCTTCAGGCTGAACTGAGTGAGTTAAGAAGCACAATCATAAATCTTTTGGATCCACCTCCAGAGGTGTCAGCCTTGATCAATAAGCTAGACTTTGCCATGTCTACTTACCTGCTTTCTGTGTACCGTCTAGAATGCATGAGGTAAATATTTAAATCCTGTTTGTGGATTCAAAGTGTTTAATTCTTTCATTTGATGCATTTTGATTCTTGTTTTCTACATACTGGTTATCAAGGGGAGAAAACAAAAATTGGCACATTTTCTTTTCTTTTCTCTTCCTTTAAAAATAATTTATCTCCATATTTAAAAAACAAACAAACCTCAAAACCCAGGCCAAATTTAATAGAGAACCCTTTCCTCTCACAACCTAAATCCTCTCATTTTGTTAATGCAGAAATTAATAAATTCAATCACAGTCCAAGAAGTTGATCCAGCTGAAAAAATGTTTCCTGAGTCTAGTTCATTCTCAACCACAATTTTAATAAATGGTGTCAGAAAAATTCCTTCAGAACTCAAAATGCTACTCTAGGAGGCATTGTGCTGATGTTGAACATGAAAAGTTTCTGTACTGCAGTGAAGTCATCCTCCTTTCTTTTTCCTCTAGCTAACTGAATGCAATAAATCAGTTTCTGAGATAACACCATAGTCTAACTGACCTGTTAGAGATATGCCTTGCAAGGTTCTTCAGGAACCTTCTATATCTACTTCTTTCACATCCCTTTTATTTAAAGCCTTAGGGATTTAATTGTTTTATCGTGTTAGTCCATGTACATGATTTTAACTGTTTTAATGGTGTTACTTAGTTGAATGTGTGCTTAGACTGTAAATGCTCTTCTACTGTTGTTGTTTTTTTAATTTTAAAATGTATCTTAATGTATGTACTGTACACTCTTTGGGTATACAGTGGAATATAAATATTTTTAAAAACAAAATACTTCCTCCTTCTCATAATATTGGCAAAGATTAACACTATATCCTAAAATTAGTTGACACATGTTGCTGTTCTAGGGTACTGCGTTCAACAGACCCTGATCGCTTCCAAGTGATGTTTTGCTACTTTGAGGATAAAGCTATTCAAAAAGATAAATCAGGTAAGAACATATAGGGGAAAAGAACCAGTGCTAGAAAAAGATTTGAGTTTGCCCTTAGCAAAATAAGTTAACTTCTGCTAACCTTCTTCACACATTTTTATACAATTTTTTTATTACATGGATGGGGAACATGCACACTCCTTCACCAGTTTTACTGGACTGCAGCTTCCACTGTTTCTTGGAGAACCACACTTTTCTCACCCTTCTAGGAGAGTTCTAGGCTCATTAGTCCAGAAGAAGGATAAAGCAAAAAGAAAACCAAGCTTGGTTGGAAAAGGTGGCAGCTGACTGGTGATAGAATAAAGCAGGCATAGGAAACATCTGTGTTTTTGTGGGTAGCTGTTCTCCAGGCAAAGGTCTAGAAGCTACAATTATATTTTGATAAAACATCATGTATAATAGGTCTGCACAAATACATTTCTTTCTACTCAGTAAGAAAGGCTTCATAGTTGTGGAGCACCTGAGCTACCAATATGTATGAAATAGTACATATATGTCCAAATGAGATCTATCTTGTTAATGTTTTCTTGCATCTCAGATTATCCTTTTTGGGGTCTTTTCTTTCTGGCTGAATTAATTATCTGAAAGCAGTTAGCATGCACGTTTTGCAATCTTTAATTTTTGTTGCTCAACATTTCTTTCTTTCAGGTATGATGCAGTGTGTAATAGCAGTTGCAGACAAAGTGTTTGAAGCTTTCCTCAGCATGATGGCTGACAAAGTAAGTTACCTGATAGGTAAAAAAATATAAACATACAGTAGCTTACTACTTTGGTCAGCGGAAATCTAGAGAGTATTTGCAAACACAAACACAAATTGCCAGGAGACCTTTTACACCTTTTCAAAAAACAAACAGACTGATGGTTCTCTTTTCACATGTTTAGCCTAAAACAAAAGAAAATGAAGAAGAGCTAGAGAGGCACGCTCAGTTCTTGCTGGTGAATTTTAACCACATTCATAAGAGGATCAGACGTGTTGCAGATAAATACTTATCAGGCCTTGTAGATAAGTGAGTATTACATATTGTTCATAAAGCGATGTCAAGATCAACTATTGGGCAAAATGGTATAATAAATTAAATATGTTGCAGTGCACATGGATCTCAGCAATTCAGTTCATTTAAATGGATTTCATTTGGCCATAGAACGGTTACAAGATCCTTTAATTAGTCCTGGATTGGAGAGTCAACCACTGTAACCGCTGAGTGGTATACAAAAGAAGCTTTTACAAGTTTAGTGTTTGGAATTTGATGAGACCTGTTGTTTCCCAGCCAAAATTGTTTTATATTCATGCTTGTCATTCTTGTTTTAAGGTTCCCTCATTTACTGTGGAGTGGAACTGTGCTAAAAACCATGTTAGATATCCTCCAGACTCTCTCATTATCTCTGAGTGCAGTAAGTACTTCTACATTAGTCCTTTGTTGCTCAGTTATTGTGATGTTTGTAGTATTGTTAGAACTGATAATATCAAATTGGAGATCTCTGTGAAGTCTAAGGCTTCTCCAAGCATCATTTTTCTCAGTGTCTCAGTTTTGATTCCAGTCCTCTCAACACCCACCACCTAAGCTGGTTGTTAAAGGGTGTGGTGGTTATGGTGATTTGTTGGCAAAAGCTGAAGTATGCTACTTCTTTTGTCAGAATTGCCAGAGCTTGGGAGAGTATTTTTGGTTGATAGGTTTCCAAATCCCCCAGGCAGAGGATTCTTACAGTTGTAGTCGAAAAATGCAATATCAACACATGCTTGAGTATTACTGATAATTAGTATATGTTTTAGCTAATTCAGGGTATAATAATTAAAAATTGTTTTAAAGAACATTAGAAATTACCTCTATTATATGGTTTGCTTTCTTTTTTAGGACATTCACAAGGACCAACCATATTATGACATTCCAGATGCTCCTTACAGAATTACAGTTCCTGATACATATGAAGCTAGAGAGGTAAGTGCTATAAATTATTATTTAACAATAATTTTACTGTGGTGTTTTTTGGGCATGTATGATCTTGCCCCTGCCCATGTTTCTTTAAGCCCCAACTCATAATGATTCCTTCCAGGTCATTTGGAACATTTTCAGTGTCACAAATTTTTAGCAGTGTTGGGTCTTTTGCTTACTAGGCCTTCCTTTGAAAGACAAATAATATTTTGTCCAGTATCCATGGGCTAGAACAGAGATGCACTTACCCACGGAAGAAAGAGCCTGCCTTCCCTTAACATACCTGACATCCTGTGTCTAAAGATGTTTCCTGTGTGCGGAGAATGTTTGAAAACACCTTGTGTGTATGGCCCTGAACTCTGCCATTAATATCCCAGATAAAATCTAGGAATCGTCTGTA